ATGATGGCGGCGGATCACAGGATTCAAAGCACGCCGGTGACAGCGATTAAACCACTGCACCACTGTACCACCCAACTTAGGTGGTAGGCAGCTTTGCTGTCGCCCGGTTCCGTACTAATGACACTCGTGCGTCCCCCCGGCTTCGCGGCAAATTAAGGTCCATTGGATCATCTGTCTCTATCCTGATTCGTCTCCTTGCTTTCTATCTGTTTTCTTCTACTCCACCGAAATAGATGTCGCTTATGTGTGTTGTTCGGCAGACGTGAAGATCGAAACATCCTGCAACTGGTTGACAAATATACACAACGGGCCCTCACACCAACCTGACTTATCCATTACCTAGAGTTTGCTCTCGTTGATTGGACTCTAATGTGGTCCACTCGAACTGGCATGTTACACTTGCATTTCGATTGTTGATTAGTATATATATATATATATATATATATATATATATATATATATTTAAATATTTTTATTCGGTATCGTCATCGCCATAGGCACATTCTTTGCTGGTTTTCACATGACAAGCCGGTCATTGTTGCTGAATTTAGCATCATCTCAACGTGTTGCGCGTTTCCAAATTGTTGATGTGATGCAGTGACAATCTGGTGTCTGGCACCCGTGTGACATGATTGCTTCTAGTGTGTGTGGGTGTGAACTGAATGTGAAAATATTTCTTCCTAGATGACATATCTGAGGCCTACCTGTGTCAGTAAAAAAATAGTATTCTGTATTGAAACACCAGACAAAAATGATCGGATAATTCGCATTCAAATCATTACTACTTGTGGGATAACTGAAATTTGATCAATTGATTAGGAAGAGTTGAAGAATGTGTAAATCTGAAGTCGGAAGGATGGTCACTTCTAATCAATATCAATTATCCCACAGCACTACTCACAAGTAATTGTGGGGTAAATCAGTTCAGTTCAATTCTTACAACCATTAACTATGCTCTTTCGTGCGCCGGTTCTGGTTGCCTATCTGGATAAAACAGCAGAATGATGATTAGATTGTTGAGAGCAGATTCAAGTGGAAGATAGCACATTTTCATAGACTGAAGTTACAAGAATAATGAGTAGATGCACGAGCGCCTCTGTTTGCGACACTCAGCCATATTGCTCAGTCTCTAATCATCGGTGACCATGATCTCTGGGTCCCCAACCAGGTAGCCTAATGGGAATTATCAATCCAGCCTAGTAGTAGGTTTGTGGCCAGTTAAATCATAATCTGCATGGAAGATCTGATTGGGTAGGAAACTTTCGATTGGAGTTAACAGGTAGTCAACTATGTCTTCCTTCGTTGCTATCGAACCAAATTGAACTGATTGACTATCTCTGAAGACGACACCTGAACAAACATGAATTGGCGATTGGATTCAGTCTTCGCAGGAACAGGCTGGAACAGTAGTACCGCACACGCGTTCCATGTGATGGGTCCGGAGTTCAAATCCCAGACGGTAGGACGGCGGATATGCGCTACTGATGAGCTCTGGAGTGAGCGAAACTCGAGTATATGGTGGACTGGAAGAGCTGAGGAATGTGCATGAAGGATGGTCAGATCTAATCAATTATTCAATAATCTGATAACTCTAAAAGCTTACACCGGTGGATTTATAGAACTGGTTTCGTTCTATTCTGTATTGCCCTTGACACACGAGGCATGGATCAAGTGTGTGGACGCGCATACAGC